AGCTGCAAGCTCCGGCTCCCAAGCCTTGTTATCGCTCGCCTGGGTCTCACCTGGCTCATGCAACATGGCTCGCCTTGTCTCCTCGGTTTAGGAAATGCATCAAGACCAAGCGAGAGACAGGGAGAGAGAGAGCGAAAGAAATAAAGCCTCAGGAAGGAACCAACAGATTCTCCTCTGTCTCGCCTTCCTGGCTAGATTAGCACTCTCTCAGCTGTTATATAAGGAGAGCGTCTAGAAATAGAGCAGTGTGGATGGGGGAAGGAGAGAGGGAAAGCCCTGTCCTTTGATGTCAGTCCCTGTAGGGGTATAGGGGGTGAAGCCATAAGGGTTTCCTTCCTAGCTGTCAGGCCTCCCCTCACACACACACCTGCATGTGTAAACACACACACGCGGACATGTGCATCCACAACCATTTGCAGATTCAGATTGGAAACTTAAATCTCATGCAGACACATGCGTGTACAGTGCATTAAGAGGGAATGCACACTGTACGTATTCGTGTCTGCATGGATGGCTGTCGGAATTTGAGCAGCATATTGTGTGAACAGTGAGCAGCAGCAGCAGCTTCTGAGAGGATCAGAGCAGACTTTGAATTTTCCCTGCTATTAAGCTTAGAGGAGCAGAGCCTCCTCGTGTTCTTCAGCTGCATGCTCATTTTTTAATCTTTGAGACACACAAGAGCTTCTCTAAACATAAAAGCAGAGATTTCAGCGCACAGTGAATAATATATTAGGGGAAGCGTACATTTCAGTCGCCCTGTGAGATGGAATTGTCGAGTAGTTTGATTGAAAGCGACGGTATGATCCCTGTCACCCTCTGTCAAATCACACCTCCCACCAACCTGAGCCTGTTTTTATATGTGTTGCCAGTGAGCAAGCGGAATAGGTTTAAACAGCTAAAAGTAATTGAGTGTGAACATTTGAAAACAATTAGGTAAAATATTAACTAAACAGTTGATATAAAAATGAAAGAAAAGCGATTAACAAATAGGTGAATTAGCTTAAATGACTGAATGTGCAGGTTAAACGATGACGCAGAAAGAAGTAAACAAATTCAGCTGAACTATAATAAGAAGCAAGTAAAAATGCTGTTGACTTGGAGTTGACTTGGAGCAGTTAAGGGTGCAACAATAACGACTAAACACCTGCATTTAATGGTCTTGTTGATTTATATGAGGTCATCAGTGAATAAGATTGCATTTTTGATGGACGTGGCCGATCTTCATTAATCACAAACACATAAAGAACTGAAAGAAAACTTTGTTTTTGGCAGAAATTGGGGATTAAAGAAAACCAAACTGGTTATTAGCCAAACTGTTACTTCAAACATCAGGATTGGCATCAGCCCAATATTTCAAAATCTTATGTGTCTCTTAAAGTAGTTTCATAAAAAGCCAATACTTGGAAAAAGAAATGTGTATGAGATTTAAATTCTTGGGTTTTTTCATGTCAAGACATAATAAAAATGATTTGGTCCTTAGCAGGTATTAAAATTTGGGAAACATAACCTCAGATTAGGATGTGACATATTACACAATGTCATTATTTGTTTAACAAAAATTAAGCTAAAATGCAGAATGCAGCTAGGTGCTGATAATGAAATGCACTTAATTAACTGATCATCAGTTCTTAAAGAAGCGACTGCTGCTGCAGCCAGCAGTCTGGGAAGGTTTGTGCAGCCATGTCTAAACCATTCGAAGTCCGTCATTCTACAGCGGGAAAGATTATTCACAAGTGGAAAACATTCAAGACAGTTGCAAATCTTCCCAGGAGTGGAAGTCGCAGCATATTTACCTGAAGTTCAAACTGTGCAATGTTTACAGAACCTGTAAAAAAACAGGAGCTAGATCTCGGACTCTGAAGGCCTCAACTAGCATGTTCAATGTTAAAGTTCATGACAGTTCAATTTGACAAACAGTTTGGAAAGGTTGCCAGGAGAAAGTTTATTATCTCTACAAAGAACATGTCAGGACAGCTTAGGTTAAAAAGCTGCATCCGAACAAACCACAAGACTTCTGCAACAATGGCGATATCCGGCGATAATTCACAGTGCCACGTTTGGACCGAAACAGCATATCAGCACAAAAGCTGTAAAGCCCGGTGGTGGAGGGGTGATGATTTAGGTTTGTTTTACAGCCAGAGGACCAGGGCAACCTTCAGTCACTGCGTCGACCATGAACTCGTCTGTATACCAAAATATTGTAAAGTCAAATGTGATGGTCATGGCTTGACTCAGACAAACTTTACTTATGTCTAATATTCCTGTATAAGTGTAAACATACCATAAATGTAAGCTGTACTTATTTCCTACTTTTCTATTAAAACAGAAATAAATGAGGGACTTTTTCACAGTACTGTATATAAAATGCTTTGACGGTCATTATTATTATTACTATTGTGTATTGTCATCTAAAATTGTCAGCTGAAATAACACAGAATACAGTAAAATGTTCATAAAGTCGAAGCTTACCTTGCTGAAAGACCAATGATCTCTGCTACAATGATCTGAATTTGCACACAATGACCACCTAATGGATCTTGACCCAAACTGTGCTTAAGGTCAAGATCACATTCATCATTCTCAGTCTGTTTTAATTCTTATCAATTTGTCCAATACAGCAAACTATTGGCAGGTGGGGGAACAACTACATACTACATAAAGCTACAAAATTATAGGGTAATACATGAGTAAACATGATCATTGTCATTTTTCATAGTAAAAAAAAAAAGATTTATGAACGTTTTGTTATTTATCAGCGGTTTGTGCTACGAGATCATTCTGTTAGTCAGTGCGGTTTAATAAACATGTTGAAGTTCTGAATGAGAAATAAACATCAGCAATATTAATGAGATGTTTATGTAAGTGTTGTACAGTAAGTTTACAGTTATTCTCTGATGGTCATGTCTCAGTTTTCCTCTGTTTGTTAGGGTTATGTGAATGTTACAATTCCATGGCATGCATCTCACAGCAAAAAGAGTCAGGGTATTTTAAGCATGCTGGTATGAAAATGGGGCTACAGGAAACTGTTCCCTGTGCAGAAACTTCCAAGTCTTTTCATCTCTCCCAGTGGGAATTTCTCCTAGCACAAAAGCTCTGAAAAAACAGAAGCCAATTAAAAACAGTGGCCGCGTGGAGATGCCACACTCTGCTGTGTTGCACTTTTTTGCTCACAATAACAAAAGACTCAACCAGCTTTCAGGATTGTTATCTTTTAAAAAAAAGGCCTCTCTGGTGAGCTGCTGCAGGGCTCAACACCTATAATGTGGTGTGTTTAATTTTCATTCAGAGGGCTTTAAAACGACTGTATGTTCATGCAGTTTTCCGAAAGCGAATGAACTCAATATTTTGTTAGAATATGTGGATTTCAGCAAGGTCTCAGTACTGTAGTGAAGTCATATCCAATCCCTGATGATGAGAACCCTTATTATCTGTGGTTTCAAGCAGACACAAAGGCTCGAGTCACTCACTAATCCTGTGCAGGGAAAAGGAATTTGAATATTTCATCCATGATTTTTTCTTTTTTGTTAACATAATGCTGCATCAACAGCAGACTGTGAAGCGCAGGAAGCTCTTAAAGCTTTTGTAGTTTTCTGATAGAAACAGCAACATTATTATGATGCAATTTGCTGCCTTTTGGTTATTTATTTATTTAGAAGTATGAATGTGAATGAGTTTTGGATATCCTCGTCTCAGGATGCTGCCATTTACAAATGTTGAGGAAAACAAGTACTAACATGCTTGAATTATTCAAAAGGCTCTTTAATGCCATATGTATGATATCGTCCGAGTACTTTGCATTGTGTTACAACTCTCACAGCAAAGGATCTCATAAATCATATGCTAATTAGATGCAAAGGTTTTACACACATCTGCTGTACATAAGTAAAAGTACTGGATGAAGAATGTGTGAGAGAGAAAGAGCTCTGTGACAGACTGGCGACCTGTCCTGGGGGGACCCCTCCCCTCACCCTATGGCAGCTGGGATAGGGTCCAGCCTCCCTG